TAATTGCAATATTTGTTTCAAAGCAATGATCAGTCAGTTATGCCTTCGGTTTAATTATTTTAAACATTATTTGTTTTGTAAATTTTATAAATATTTAATAAAACACGCATTCGTTTAGTTTACAAATTGATTAATTATTTTAAATAGTAATTGAGATTTGATTACAAACGGCCCAAACTTTATGCCACTAGATATGGGATTTCAGTTATAGTTAAAGATGAGGCTAATGTTATTTTGTGAGTAATATTAATTTTATGGAACCAATGCTAATTCTATGGACAATGTTAAGTCTATGAGTAATGTGGAATCCACTACTGTTTGGGCATTTTCTGAATTGTGGCACATTATTTTTACACAAAATTTTAATTAAAACATCTAAATTCACTAAATATAAACAATCTACCTCTCTCATTATTTGCGTACAACATATTTGAATGCATAAAGATGATTATAAATGGTACATAAAGTATGTTACCCTCCAATACCCAGTTTTACCCGCCCAGCGTGCCTATGCTCAAGATTAACTTTTGACTCGAGTTAACACATTGTTTGTGACCTTGGTTAACTTGGGTTTGACCCCCTCAGGTGATTGTTGTGACAGCAAAAAATGTAATTTGTAACAAATTGTAACTACAAATAAGTTGTTAAAGTATAGAGAGCTTATTGATTTCTAGTGATTGGGTCCCCATATCTTCTATGGAAGTCCTGAAGTTATAATAAAATATTCTATCAATTCGTTTGTTAATCAAAAATAGATATTCTTTTACTTTTACTCGTATCTCAACACTACCCATAAGAACCGGTGCGCTATTCGACCACAAAAGCGCGCCATAAGAATAGTATATTTAATTCAATTAAATGTATTTACAATTAACTAAATTAATTGTAATATAAGTTTTATAAGTTTTTCTTATTTACTTTACAATCAATCAGAGCCATCTCTTGGGCAAAAAACTGCATTTCGTCATACATTGTGAAGTCGTGGACCAATCAGAGAGTAGGATTGCGCACCAAACATGTCGACTCACAGTTGTACCTCACAATGCATGATGAAATCAAGTCACTTATATGGCAGTTATTTTGCGCGCTTAGTCGATAGAGGCGCCACTAATTATAAAGCCAAAGCAAGCTGCCTGTACAGTACTGTATCATTAATAACAAAATTTGAGTTACGCCTTATTGCAAAATAACCCCAAAAGTAAGAAAATACCCTAAAATGGTTGCAAAATACCCTAAAAAGAATGATATTTTACAAATATCGTAGGGCATAATGACGTCAGCCGGTCAAAAACGGTTAACCGCGGTTAAGGTTAAAGTCTCTGATATTTTTGACCGATCGGTTAACCGTTTGGCCAACACTACACTCAACTCAATATTTGAAGCAAACGTTCAGTTCATTCATTCATTCACTCAAATAGACGTCATTTGTGTGCAATTGTCTCACATTTGGCGCTAAACTGAAGCCAAACGACAACTGTTTTGAAACCGCAATGAATTGCGAGTCTTTGGATCAGCTCTTGAATCACTTTCACTCAAAGATCTCAATCATCACTGATTTGTTTCCTTTGAGTCAATTGTACGACAATTACGACCACAAGAATGAGTGGAAGAGAAACGCTGTCCTCGACTCCAATCACTGGATCCAATCGACCGACTCTTCGGACAACTATTGTCTCGAATCGGTTCCCAAAAAACCGGATTTGAAGGAAATGTCGCAAATGATTGTCGAAATGAAAGCAATGATTGCAGACATTAAGACACTTGTGAGACAACAGAAGCGCATAATCGGTGACCGAAACACCAAATATAGCCATCGATTGGATCTAATGGTCAAACACTGCGAACACATTAACCATAATATTCCCACTTTTCTCACAAATAAAGGTCTGTTTTTTTGAACACATTTTGAACTCATCTTTGATTGACATTTGACTTGAAATTGAAGGTAAAGCTAATGAGGAGAACAATGAACTGCCGGTTAAGAGACAAACGAATGGTCACAACAATAATCACAAACCGGTCTCCAAAGCGATGCCTAAGTCTACCAGTAATGCAAAGCCAGTGAATACAACGAAACCAAACCCGAAGTCAACGCAAAGCCAAACGGCGAGAACTGGTGGCAAGAAATGTGTGGCCAAAGACACGAGTATTCCCAGCATTGCGTTCATCACAACCGAAGAGTTTGCAACAATTCCTCAGTAATTGAATGAATGAATTGAAAGCGAGACAAATGAGTGACTAATGTATTGGTGTTTCAGTTATATGTTGGGAAGACTTACTTACGATGTGATGAACAGAGCGGTCGCCGACTTTAACCGAACCATTCAAACCAAATATAAGATAATCGCTAACTATTCCACTAAATATTCAGACGAAGAGATGAGAAAATATGTTCACTTCAAGGAGGAGGAGAACAGCGAAACTGATGGTAACATCTATTCATTTGTTGCCACAAATTATAACAATAATTTTTGATTGAATTTTAGGCGAATATTTTTGTACAACAAGTGATTTGAAAGATTTAAGTGATCTAAAAGTGGACATAACTATACGAAAAGCAATCGTTTGTCTCCGACATTGCAAACGGATTAAAGAGATTCGCGGAAATCCACCCAAACTTATTCGATACGCGATCGTCAAGACTAACACCCAATTGATTAACTAATTTGGTTACAAAAGAGTGATTCAATAGTTTATGTCACAAACTATTTGTATTCACTTTTTCTAATCATTTATTCCTTTGCCTGTATTTATTAGTTCTGTTTTCATACAATTTCTTACATTATTTTAATAAAAAGTATTATAATTTGGTTTTAATCAACATTTAGCGAATAAATGAAGTTTTATTTGACAATTGATTTGTTATGTGTATTGAAAGCATGACTGCAATGATATAGCGTTCCCTTTGGTTAGCAAAAGGCGCCACTATTTTCATTGACTCTCTCTCTCTCTCCCCCAGCGATCGACGCATTGATTGAAAGACAAACACATGTCTTAAGTTTTGGATGTGTTTCACGTTTTTCTCCATATTTTTAGTTTAATTTAATTATTACTATATTTTAAGTTTGAATTGATTTTAGTGTAAAAGTGAATACAAATGGCGAATGAATTTCAACACATTTTAACCAATTTATTGAATGTCGACAATCAGTTCCGCACTAAGGCTGAGGTATGTCTACTCATCACTTGTTCCATCACTTGTCTTCATTATCATCTCTCAAATATACAGGAATTATATGAAGCGATTCCGGCTCATCAACGAACTCAACATCTCTTTGAGACCATAATCGACGACAATAAGGATGAAGAGGTATTTAACAGCCGATCCAATGATACTTTAAATAACTGTTAACTATATCCACGAAAAGGTGCGACAATTGGCAGCCGTCCTCTTAAGACGGCTTATATTCAGTGATTTCCCGGAAATCGTTAAAAGCATTACTGAAGAAGACTTTGAGAAAATTAAGTTTCAAACGCTTTTACTTCTGGAGAAGAATATATCGAAAAATATGCGGCAAAAAGTGTGTGATATCGCCGCAGAATTGGCCAAGAATTGCATCGGTTTTGACTTTATATAAATTGTTTATATTTGAAATATGACTGAAACTAATCGGCCGATTGTGTCCAACAGATGATAACGGGAACAACAGTTGGCCGCAAATATTGAAATTTCTTTTTGATTCGGCAAACGCTAACAATTTAGAGCTCAAACACTCGGCTCTTCTTATATTTGCGTCAGTTTTACACTCTTTGCGACTAAATATGAAAATTGTTATTAACTTTATAATTGATTTGCCATTTAGTGCCGTTCCGGGAGTTTTCGGTAACCAACAAACCAAATATCTGGAAGTGATTCGACAAATGCTTATTCAGTATTTGTGTGAAAATTCTAACGAAGAGGTGAAGATATCGGCAGTGAAGGCCACCTCTGCCTTCATTTTAGTTCACGAAACAGAAAAATCAGTTTTAAAACAGATGAGTGATTGTATTCTTCCAATGATTCACAT